GCAAATAAGTTGCAGGTTACTTGCTCTGAGCGATGTCTTCACACCAGGTCACCCAACAACAGCAACAACAAAAACAACAGGCAGGATGACTGATTCCAGGATCTGAAACCTACAAACAAAATCTAACCTGAAGTTAATTTCCTCCTTTTTCTTCAAAAATTGCCATCATCACAACAGGGGGAAGCAATGATTACCTTGAACAAAGTCGTGAAGTACTTTAGTAGTTTATATACATTCTCTATCTGCTACAATTAATTATTTTAAAACGAAACATTAACATTTGTGTTAAGGAGAAAGCAGAATTCACAGGGTATTGCTAAGCAGAGATTTTTTTTTTTCCAAACACATATAGGTTATGCTTTTTACTATGCCCAAGACCAGTCAATAATGCAATAACTCTGCCTTAATGTTACAGGTGGGGGTCCCCCAAATTTAGTCCTATATAATTGGAGGGGTGGCATTATTCATGTGGCACTAACTTGGCAGGTCAAGTCTGAGCAGCTAGTGGGTCAGGAAATTACCAGGGGTGGGGAGCAAAGGGAAGTACAAACCCTGTTGCAAAATAAGTCACTCCTGGTCCAAACTTTGTACAGACGCTACCTCACAGTTGTTGTCAGCTCAAACATAGTATTGATGAGGAATTCTGGATTCTGTGACCAGAAAAATTCAGGATTTCAGCCTTCACCCCATTAGCTGGCACTCGTGTTGCTTCCCTGATTCTCAAGACTTCCCCTCCCCCAGATACAAGGGCCTTCACCCACACTGGTTAAGAAAGGGAAAGAGGGCAAAGCCTGGGAGCCAATCACCCACCACGTTGCATTTAAGTTGTCATTACAGAGAGGGAGAAGTATTTTAACTTTTTTCATTCTAACTCCTCTAGCATAGTCCTCATAATTTATACAACATATTCCTTTTTATGGGTGTGGACCAGGAGAAAAAATACTGTAGCAATGTGAAATACAAACAAGTTCCCATGTTTGTCTTTTCTGCGTTTCTTATATTTTTACTTCTTGTATTTCCCTTGGGAACAGGTCATTCAAAAACTGGGGGAATTGACAAAATGAAGCGGAGCCTGAACTGGGTCTGATGCACTATGCGCGAGGCCTTCGGGGCAGACTGTCACAGATCCGTGAGATTGCCTGCGCTTCCACTTGGGCCAAGCCAAAGGGCCAGCACTCATCTCATTTTTTTCAAAGATAACCATAGAATCAGATTTTGCACCCAAGCAACCCAGCTCTCTACGGCATCTACTAAATCTGCAACCTAATTCAGCACCCCCATCTCCACCCCCACCTTGTATTTGACAGCAGTGCAGAGACATTTTTTTCCTTACAAACGTTTCCACTCATGAAATCTTTGTCTAGTGACAGCAGTGTCTGGTCCAGACGAAGCATCAGCCAGTAAAACTATCATCAACAATGACTGTGTTTGCAGATACTCTAGATCTGGAAATCACTGCAGGCATGTCTACATGTTTACAAAATTTCTTGCAAGTCTGCCGGTTTCTATCAAGCCTGTGCTTTCTTCTGAAAAACTTCTGAGAAAACCTCATGAACAAAGACCTTAAAATAAATAGGTCAGCCTGGTGTTCGCTTGACTCGGCTCAGACAAGGCTATTGACCCTTCTCCAGCTACGAATAGGGTGAACAGGGACATATGAGCGGGTAGCCGCCTTTGGAGCAAGGTTAGAAGGTCACTATTGAAGCTCTTTGCCCCAGAACATAAAATCCACCACCTACCATATTAGCTATATTACTTTGGCTCTTGAAAATATTTTCCTCCTGAATCTTACTTAATGCAGCTATCTCTGGGAAGGATTGCACCTGAAGCTATTACTTGGTGAAGACCAAAGCAGGGGGGTGGATTAGGAGAAGGAAAAATAAAATCAAAGAGGAGGGAAGTAGAGAGCTCCCCAAATCTGCTATCCTGTCAATTTAGCCTAGAACTGGAGCAAAAGCCTTCATTTTCTGTAGGTGTTATGTTGTTTTTCAACTCCCATGCAAAACTTTCTGCTTGTCACCTTCACTCCTATTACAATATGGGGCCTCGCTATCATTCATAGACTAGAGTGAGTTACCTGTACATCTGCTAGTCCTTGCATATGATGAAATGCATAGTTCAAATATTTCTAATTTGTTTTAGCTAGCTTCATGCCTTACTGCTTCTTTTTAGTTATTTCTTGCTATTAAATTAGGTGAAATGCTTTGTGTGATTCCTGATCAATAAATATCCTCCTAGGCTCAAAACATATTTCTAATTTTATATTATAAAATAGACATGCAGAAAAGTGAGTACAACATAAAATATATACTTAAAAATGTTTAGAATGTGAACACCCATGTAACTTCCAACTGGATCAAAACAGAGGATATTTGCTGATATCACAGGAACCCACACCGCTTACAAACCAAGTATTTCTCTCAGAGTAACTTCTCTTCTTACTTTCATGATAACAATTTCTTTATTTTTTCAATTGTTTTTTAGTTTTACCTCTTATAGATGCCCCCAAGCAACATTATTTTGTTTTGCCGCTTCCTGCAATTTATAAATGGAATCGCATTGTGCGTATCTTTTTATTTTTGCATCTCTTGCTCAAAATGATGTTTGCGTAAGATTTATACATGTTGCCCTATATATCGTCAGTTCCTTCCTTTGTATTGCTGTACGGTGTTCCCGTACACATAACTCAATTTTAACCCGCTCGCCCCCTGATGGACATTTGGGCTGCTCCCAGGCTCTGGGGATTATGAACAAGGCTGCCGTAGCTGCCGCCTGTGCCCGCCAGCGCCTCTGCTCCTGGGTGTGTCTGAGTGAATGTATCGATGACGGGAAATGCTGGGCATGCGATATGTAGATCTTCAACTTTACACAAAAACAGGAAGCTGTTTTTTCCAAAATGGTTGTTCTAGTTTATACTCCACCCACCAGTATTTAAGAGTTCCTATTGTTCCACATCCTCACCAACACTTGCTATTGTCGGATTCTTAATTTTTTGCCAGTCTGGCATTTGGTGTGCAGTGATACCTCCTTGTGCTTTTTCTCCTCTTCTCATTGTGGTTTTAGATTGTAAAACCCTAATTTTTAATGACATTGTGAACTTCTATGTAAGTTTACTGCCCTGACTCTGGATTCTTTAAATTTTAAATACAAAGTCTGTTATTCTGGACTTTGGTATTTTAGTGTAATTCATACTGAGCACTTCAAGTCATAACTGACAAGTACAGGAGAAGAAACTCATTCATTGAGCATGTTTGAAACATGGTGCCTCATGCACCTTGCTTTATCTGATCCTCATAATAATTTGCTAGTTAATATTGCTATCCCTACTTTCACTCAAACCATGCCTGTGTGGCTTTAAAGCCTAAAAAAAAACAAAAAACAAACACCTCTTTCCAGTACTCATGGTTCCTCCCAGGAAGCAGCCTCTGCAGGATCAAAATAATGACCAATATCCTGTAGTAAAGTCGCTGTATTAAAAACTATACCAAAGGAATATGTAAAGTAGCTTGGTTAATATGACTATTTAATAACAGCCTCCCTAGGTCAGTTTTTCCATTAACACTCCAAAATCCAATTCATTAATATTTAAACAAATGAAGGAGTCCTTGATTTTTGGTGGGATTTCCCTCGTGAGAGTAATTTGTGAAACACTTCAGTCGGTGTTTCATTTTCTGCCTGTGACAGGCACTTGTGAAGTGATTAACACGGCCCAGTAGAGTTACGGAATATTAAATGACAGCCAGAAATAAAAGTAACAAAACATGAGAGTGAGACAAACTATCCTCCGAGATAATTTTTATACAAGTAATCAATTTATTAGGACATGCAACAAATTCAAGTAATGGGCCCTTTAAAAAAATAATCTAAAGCCAATTAAAGGATAAACATCAAGTAAGGCTCCTAAGAATTTATATGTTATTAATAGTGCCTTTTTCTTTTTAACTAGAAAGGTCTAATAAAAAGTCTGTAAATCCTGCAGATACAGAAATCATTTTCCAAGAATCAAATTAACCAGATGCAAAGACCTGGGTATAATGCTGCCTGCAGGAGGGGATGACCCAAGCAGCCTTTCAACACCCCTCCCGACACTAACAATAACGCACAGGGGTAGCGTTCTGTGTTCTCTCTTCTCTAGTATCTTTACAAAATGACTCTTCACTGGGATCTGATTCAAAACTCTCACTGATGTAGGCACACTGACAGCTTGTAACTTTGTTACCAACAACTTCAAATAGGCCTGGACTTGGCCTCTATGAATATTAACCTCACATTCATTCCATTGCATAACAAACAGTGAAAACACTTTTATTAACTACTTCTATATACTTCATACACTGTGTGAGGTTCATTATTTTTTCCTTCACTCTGCGATATAAACCTTTGCTTGCAAAAGTGCTATCATAATATGCACTTTCTAGTTGTCAATATGCCTCCATTCTCTTCTGTACCATCAATTGGCTACAAATATTTAGAGGTTCTGTGATTATAGGATTTCAATTATTTTAAATTTGGAAATTCTTTAAGTTCCATTATCTCTGCAGCCACTGAAGAATTTTAAAATCAGTTTGGCCTTTCTAGCTCCAGGTCTAAGAATTAGAGCATTCTAATAGGTATAAATGCTTTTCTGCAATTTTACAAAGAGCTGTCCCCAACCAGCTGACCTCCAGGAAATAAAGCCAGCCAGTTCTCTAGCTGGTAACTGCTGATCAGAGTTAATAAATGGAAAGATATGTATGCTATGCAACAAAGCACTAGGAAAACAAATAATCGCTTCCTCAACTCCACATGAAGCCAGTGAATCAGATTTGATGTACAAAAGACATCAGACTTGAACACATGTCAATAAAGGTCTAAGACTGAGATAACAGAAAATGTCAGGGACATAGAGAAGCTTGGTGGGGCAAAGAGAGTAAGTTCAGTGACTGGAGGTCATCTTCTTCCTAAAGAAAAACAGTTGCCATGGATACCCTTGAAGCCTAGGTAACCCTCAGAGGCCTTACCTCCTGCGTCCTCACGTTTATGTATCCATAGTGAGTTCGAAGAGGCCGCCTGAAGGTATAGGAGAATGGTATCCATTTTGTACCAGGTTGTCCAAAGCAGTTGAGTAACAATGGGAAATTCAGTTCATTTACAAGGCGCACAATCAGCAGGAAGAGAAACGCTGCTACGAAGCTCACTGCAACCACAGACTTTCTCTGTAAAACATTTGAAAAAAAGAGAAAAGGAAAATGAACGAATGACTTTCAACCAAAAGCAGTTACAGAAGTTTCTTTATTCCTCTCCCTTTCTCTTTCAAAGGTATCAAAGGATGCTGTGATTTAGGATTATTTTTATTTGGAGACAGAAAATAATTATTTGGTGACTAGGTTACCTTAGTGTGCTGAGGCTCTGAGAGCAAGCAGGGCATCTTTTTTAGATTATCTTTCCATGCCATTCCTACCCTTTCTTACCTATCCTCCTTGACAACTCTTACTCAGTTTGCAAAACCCAGAAGAGGCATTCCCCACTATAGGAAGCCCTTGCTATCTGTGCCATTACCCCTCCGCCATCATCTCTTCGCCCCCAACACATCTGTCCTATTAGAGGTAAAAAATCCCGCCACTTCCACACCTTGAAGGCACTTCTGTCGTAGGTTTTTCATTGTATAATTATTTATGTGACCTTTCCTCCATGTAACTGTGAATTCCTGGAGAGCTGGGATATGGTATGTCATACCGATCTCTGTATCCTAGGTCCTTCACACAATTTTTGCATTCTTATAGACAAAGTCTCGTTATCAATCATTATCCCGTGTGTTTACCTAGCACCCTCTACATGCAGGAAACTTAAATGTGTCCTACAGGATAGGTACAAGTAGGATTTAAAAAGCTAACAGCCCTGGCCTGGTGGCTCAGGTGATTGGAACATTGTCCTGTGCACCAAAATGTTGTTGGTTTGATCCCCAGTTGGGCACATGACTGGGTTGTGGGTTCAATCCTCGGTCAGAGCATATGCCAGAGGTGGCTGATTGATGTTTCTTTCTCATATCACTGCTCCTCTCTCTCTCTCTCTCTCTCTCTCTCTCTCTCTCTCTCTCTCTCTCTCTCTCTCAGAATCAGTGAACATATCCTTGGGTGAGGATTAAACAAAAAAAACAACTAACAATAAGAGTATGAAAAAAGTGCACTCCAAGCAGCATAAGAACACACCCTTAAATGTGTTGCTATGGAATTAGAGGACAGAAGGAGCAACTGCATCTGATTGGGGTGGGAGAAAGCAGAGATGTATTTGAAACTGAGCTTGATAAAAATGCATGAGTTTTAATCAATAAAGATGCGTGAGAGGAGCTTTTAGGTGGAAGAATCAGAGCAAAGAGGCAAAAAAGCATGGGGTTTTTCCTAACCACATAGCATTGTGTCTTACTGGGGCACAGAGAAAAGGGTAGATACGCAAATGATAAGTTGATGGACTGCCTCAGATACGAAGCTGAGAAGTCTAGTGTGTTTGTTAGGTGATGGTAAACCAAAGGAGGCTTTGTTTAGTTTTCTAAAGGTGACTATTATAAGTTATAATCAAACGTGGGCATTTAAGATGCTTTGAGGAGGGACAAACTAAGGGTAGGCAACAACTACTTAGAAGGCTATCCCAGCTGGCTAGGACAGAGGTAATGAGGGATGGAAAATTAGAGCAGTGGCAGGGGAAATAAAATGGTGGGAAAAGACATGAGAAACTCCATTTAGGTGAAAGGAGGAAAACTTGGTTACTGATTGGATAGAACTGGCAGACAGAAAATTCAGAGATGCCTGATATTTTGAGTATCAGTAACTATAATAATCCTGGTCATAGCACATAAAACCAGAGTAGCCGGGGAAAGAAGTGATATGAGAGAGTAAGAAGATAAAGCCCTTGGCTTTTAAAGTCCTAGTTTTCAGAGACTCGTCATCTGATGAAGTTGTCAAGGAGACAGGTGGAAGGTCAAGTCCGGAGCTGAAGGCAGACATCAGGAACAACTCTGCCTTCAAGTCCAGGGTGAAGATACAATGAAATTTCCTCCATAAAGATGGGCTTCGCTTCTGATTCTTCTTCAAACTTAAGGGGAGCCAAATATCTTTCTGAGAATAGCTGAGAATTTTCGAGGTTATTGCTACGTTTCAGCTTACCATTTCCTGGTGTAATCCGCTTCCTCTTGTTGTTGTTCTTCACAAAATGCCCCAGAAGGAGAAAAGAAACCCCAAGCGAGCCCCTGTATCCTCTGCCCCTGTATCCTCCCTGGTCCCGTGGTCACAGTGTCTCTGGGCAGAAGAATCAGCCCCCAGAAGTCAGACGCCCACAGGAATTCTTTGCTCTCACTCAGCCCTAGTGATTGCAACATCCCCAGCCCACTGTCTCACAGCCTAATTTTTCAATCACGTGGAAGTGCCTTGAGTTCTGCCTCCTCAAAACCCCTTATCTCACCACTAACTACTACAGCCTTACCTCATTTAAGCCTCTAATCATGAAAAAACATTTTAATTTGCTCCTCTGTGGAATCATTATGTCCACAACATTGCAATGTGTCAAGGTAACAGTTTAAATGAGGTGATGGATCTTACAAGTTTAAAGGGACACAGACCAGAACAGATGGCTAAATGAAAGCAAAGAGGCCAGTCACCCATTGAGTAAACAGGTAAGAACGTTTTTTATCACCATCTGGTAGCTTGTCGCAGAACAGCAGCTTGCTTTGAAGGAGACCCAGATGGGACGTGTGCCTTTATCTACCCCGGAGTCCAGCACAGCTCTCAGGTTCTGTTGGCTGTCACACTGCATTGCATGGCTGAAGGTTTGGGGACAAAGGTGTGGATGGCCTTAGTGGATTATCTGATAGTGCATACCAACACACACATAATGCACACATGAAAAGAAAATAAATCAACCATTTTGAGAAACTTCACTATGGGATGAAATCATAGTTGGAAAAGCCTGCTCCCTAGTAATACATGTCGGCCTCTCATGTCGTGAAAGGGGACCGAGTAAGAAGCACAGAGAGTGTGAGTGAGAAAAGCAAATGGAGAGCGGAAGCCAGACACTGACTCCTCTGCGCTTGACCTGAAATGGGCAGAGCGTTCCTTTCACAGCTCCGGCTTCCAGCCCAATTTCTGTGTGTTGCCTGGACCTGATTCCGTACTTTGCTTCACGCTTCCGTATTCCTATTTAACACGAAAGCATCCTCATAGTGCTGATATAAAACTGTCCTGAAACTTCACTTGAAACAGTATAACTCCAAGCACATTCCGTGCCCCAGGTGGCAAGGCCAACATGACTTAACATGAATGTGTGTTTTGTGGCAGTCACTTTTGCCAGATCATGACCTTGAGCTACAACAATTAAAACAAAAACCACAGATGAGGCTTTTCAAAGTCTACACACACCAGAACTCAGTGAGAATGTGTCTGTGTGTGTTGGGGAAGTAACGAAATACTGATATTCATGATTTATATGAATGCATTCAGTCCTTCCAGTCACAGTTGCTCATTAAGTTTGCACTTTGTATAGACTTGGTGAAGTGCAGAAAAACAGAAATAAAACCAAAAGACAGACTATGCTTCCAAAGAGTCACAACCAAGTGTGGCTGGTAAGTAAACAAAGAAGTATAATAGCACATATTAAATAAGATAACAGAGGTATGCTCAGGGTGCTGTGGCAGCCCAGGAGACGTGTTGAGGGGGAGGGGAGGTTGCTGAACAATTCAGGGAGAGCTAGCCTGAGGAGGCAGTATTCAAATGGAGTCCTGAAGAATGGGTTCGGGGGGAATGGTTAGACAAGTTGGGAAGGGTGGGAAGGGCATTCCAGACAGAGGGAACAGCATTGACTAAGGCACAGAATTTGAAAGGCCTTAATTTGGTCAGAAACCTGCAAGTCATTTGATAAGAAAAGTATGTAGACTACATGTGGCAGGACATAGTGCTAGGGAATTAAACAGGCTTCAAATCATAAAACAAAAAATAAGAAGTACATTAATTCAGATGCAGTTATCTGCCTTATCTATGTTACATTAAGATAATAAAAAGGATAAATGTATAAAAGTGCCATGTTTCGTAATTATGAAATACTCTTCACTTTCCAACCACATGTAAATGTAGCAATCACTTCATTTTATTGGAAATTGCCGTTTTACTCACCACAATGCCCTGCTTCCAATTGTTTGATCTAAGTTTATTCCCTCAGTGGTTATATACTCAGTTCTAGTAACTGTGTTCCGTCTATCAATACTGAGCAAATTAGAAGATGCTGCCTGTCTATACAAGTGCTCTAGGTCTAACAATTTGTTTGTGGAAGTGATCACTGATGCCTCTGTTGAAGTAATCAGAGGATCTCCTAGATTCAACAACCAAAAATTAGGTAAGCGAAAATAACAGTAAGGATTTGTCAAGTTTATAATATAGAAGACTCAGCTTGACATACTTTTATACTGCAAAAAAAATGACATAAAATTAATAAACTGTTCCCCTAACATCAAAAGCATGAACGTGCAATGACAGGATATGTAGAAAACACAGACCATAGTTCTGGGCACACGGTGAGCACGTAAAAAACAGATGTTATTATTATGATATAACTACTAATTATCAGAGCCTTCATGGACTGGCCATGAAAGTGAGGACCGGCCAGCCCACGTAAATGCATGAAAGAAAGAGATATCTTTTTCTCAAATATTCCAAGCAGCTGCAAACCCTTGAACTCTTCAGTGAAACTTATCTACACAAGCTCTGGAAGAGGATCACTGTGCCCAAACAGATCTGATGAATTGCTTTAGAGGAAGCTTCCTCATTCTTGGTTCTTCATTTTGGGTAAGTCTGAAAGGGACTTTAAAGCTGACACATTTAGAATTTAGTCCCCTCTGTGCTGCAAAAATATGCATCAAAAATGTGGCATTCCAGTTTCTTGCTCTTTAGAGTTGAAATATCATTTATCAGACTTATAGTAGAAATACCTATTTCAAAATAAAACCCGCAGAGAATTCATGATTTAGAGAGAAAACAGTTGCAGAGATTTGAACATAGCAAATTTGGAAGCTATATTTACATTTGTATGTTTTTTTATTTTTGTCTACCACAGAGTTCGTCTTTAGCCACAGTCTTTAACTATTAATTTAGTCAGTTGCTAGATTTTGTTTTGTTTCTTTTTCATAAATACAAACAACAGTATAAAGGTGTATTTTTCTATTTAAATGATATAACTAAATGAACTAGTTTCTTACCAGGATAAAATGTATACTTTATCCACATGCTGTCACTTGTGTTATTTATATCGGTGCTCAATCATCTCACACACAGATGGGCCCTTACTCATTGCCTTTTTGTGATATGATCGAATGTAAGTTCTTCTCCCATGTAAAAAAGTTGTGTAATCAATGTAATTCTACCTTGTGCCATTGGTCAAGCTCCAAGTCTGGTTCTCCCTGAATGCAATAAGGATACTTTCCATTTGTACAGGGTAAATTGGTAAAGCTCTGAGCATATAAATGAAGTCTTTATTTGTTTTGTTTCAGCTATTGAAGAAACAAATTGTCTGGATCCTGCTTATTAAATTATACTGAACTATGGGAAAACTCTCACACATTTGCTGGGAGGATGAGAAAAGGAGGGTAATAAAAAGGTGGGCGGTCCTAGATTGGTGGGGTCCATACGGGAGCTGGGCAAGGGCAGCCTTAGCCACCACAGCTGGTGATAGAATTATTGAGGTCACCAAGAAGAGAGTAGTAAATGTCTAACAAGGTTAACATGGGAGGATCAGCAGCCATCTCAGAATCCAGGAGGCTGATGAAA